GATTTGATTGCCTCTGCCAAGTTGGTCGTCATATGTCCATCTCGATATCCACCATTATATGCGTTCGTCCACATTTCTTTATCGATGAGGCTGATGTAATCGTATCCTTCCTCGATCTTCGCCCGCAAATCTTGAAGCATTGATTCAAACGTTCGAGGAAGTAGTTCGTAACCTGATCAAAAAATGTATAACTTACTAACTTTCTTTCTTTGCAAAATTAAAACGATCGAAAGAAAAAAAAACTACATCAGTTTCACTTACCCATACGCACAATTAATTGACGCTCATCATTCTTCTTGTACCTTCCATGGAAGTTCGCAGCAATGTGTCGGAGACAATACCTATATTGGACAAAGGGTGGTTGCCACATTGGACCCAAAGACTCCATTGCTGCTTTGATCCCAGCTCCGCGATCTGAAATGACACAGATGTTTTCCCTCGTGATAACACGTGCACGTAAATTTAGGAGGAAAAAACCCAAGATTCTGTATCTTCTCCTTCGATAAGAGCAAAAGCAACTGGAAGAATGTTGCGATTGCCATCTTGGACAACTGCCAATAATAAAACTTGCTTGTATTTTCCATACAAGAAAGTCCCGTCGATCTAGACCACAGGCTTGCAGTATTTGACAACATTAACGCACTGTGGGTAAGTCCAAAAAACCCGGTAGAATTGGCATCGATCGCGGAGAACTCGATCATTATGGTATGCATAGGAGGTTTCGAAGTCCACAATTATCCCAGGATTCAACCTCCGCACCAGCCTAAACCAGCCTGGAAGTTTGTTGTAAGATGCATCTCATTCGCCATGAAGTTTGACAATGACATTTTGTTTTGCCACCAAGCTTTTTTATAGGAGACAGTGTACCCATACTGCGATTATATAGCTGAAATCAACACAGCAACAACTATATGAGAGCTTGCTTTTACCATGAGCATGATGGCTTGGCATATCAATTCAGAGTCCAAGTTGGGATGATCTTGATTGACCCCTCTAGCACACTGTGTGTGAGGATCGTTGTATACTATTAGTTCTCATATGTTATTTTTCCTCTTTCTTTTTGATACGCGAACCATCCAATTGCATCCGTTTTCGCGTCGGGCATAGTAGCATACATATTTTTCGGTCGTGGATCGGTTGACTCTGGACTAAACAGAATTATGGATATTGTAATTTTTTATAGCCATCACCGCTTCTTCTTTGCTTGAAAACTCCATGCCTAAAGATAACTCACCGTTATTTATTGATGAGTAATATCCATAGTCACCGAGATGAGGCATATCCGCAAATTCTGGCCCGTACATTGCATCATAATCAGCTTCATATATGTGTGCAGGAGGGTCAGTTTGTGCCACATTTCCTGGAACTTCATCATCATCGGAGTTGAATTGTGGTGATTCTGGGTGAATGAATAGTCCAGTCTTAGCACCATTCACACCAGGCTCATAAAGCGGTTCTTTTGGTGGAGATGATGGTTCCTCCATGCGCTCCACAATTAGGTCAAAGAACCTACTACTTGCACGCCTTCCCCTTGAACTAGAAGGCATATCGACATTGAGATCGAAAAAGCTCGCAGTCGAATGCCTCCCCCTAGAGCTTGAAGCCATCGTTTCAAATGGAAACTGCACATATGGTTGCGTCGATGGAATCTCCATATTAAGGTCAAACAGATTTGCAGATGAATGTCTTCCCCTTGAACTGGATGCGATGTTGCCATACGGATTGTTCGTCTACCCATCTCGGTACATATCGTAAGGAGTTGCAGATAAATGTCTCCCCATTATGGCATTAAAATCATTACACATTACTGTCGTCGGGCTGTTAACTTGTTCAGCCAGCCCACAGTGGGAGCTTAATGATTGACCCCGAACGGCACGCACTTAAATAAAATTTGCATACAACTCAATATCGGCTTCTGAATAATTACTTTGAGCTTCAACCATCATTTCAACATCACCATTGTTCAAAAGTTCGAACGCTGTATAAGTTAATGACAACAATGATGTTGGAAATCTGTACTGCAACGACAACATTCTTCTACTACTTCCAACATGAATCTTTCTCGAAATCTTCGTTATCAGCTCCTCAAGAGTTATGTTTCTCTTCAATGATATTTTAACACGCTCATTTGATACGAAAACAACGTCGGTTTCATCTTCTCGAATTTCACCATCATAATAAACAATACCTGAAAGTCGCGTCATTCTTTGAGTTTAAAAGTGCGGCAATATTATATCTGCAAAAAAAAAAAACAACTGAAACAATGTTGATTAAATAAATAATATATGAAAGAAAATATAACAGAATAAAATTTTTACACATAAACGTAAATAATTTAAATAATATAATTTTATATTATTACCTGTACCGAAAAACTATTTCGACGTATATTCCCGCTTTTTAATTTTACAAACACAGAAATTAATTGACAACAATTAGTATAATATTTTTTTCAAATAATCATAATAAACAATAAATATAATAAAAAAAATTATCACAAAATTATCTTATAACGAAAAATCGAATAAACGTCTGAATAAAATATGAGAAAATTGTCAGAATTATTGACTTGTTAACGGAATTGTTATATTAATTTATAAGTCGAGAGGATAGATGTGAGGAACTTAACCGAGGAGAAGGGTATTTATAGCAGGGAAAAGTTACAAGACGCGGTACATGTACCGCGTATTATATAATTATATCAATTAAAGGTATGGCGCGACCCCTGCCCCACACTATATATAAATCAGAATTAAAGGTAAGGCGCGGTCCCTGCCCTGCGCTATACCCCTACGTGGCGTAAGGCGCGTCCCAGGGGCCGCGCTTTACACACGTGTATCCATGTCAGCATAAGACGCGCTTCAGGGTGCGCCTTACCCCAAGTGATGCCAAATCAGCATATAGCACGGTGCAGGGGGTGTGCTTTACTGCTAAGGGTGTTAGATCGAAAAATATAGTCTGACCAATGTTAGATCGATAAATATATCAGTCACCGGTGATTTTTCAAAAAAAACACCCATATTTTTTTATATTTATATTAAGTCGTCTAATATTTTTTTTGTATTCACCACTGCATATACGTCACTGTATATGGTTGAAAACTAGATGTTGAACTCTCCTTTTCTCCTTATAGATCTATCTCCACATATTTTATCATCTTCGTTAAATTATTTAAACAATCAATCCCGATTTTACTGTTAAATGAGAAAAAATAAACAATATTCAGTCATGATTACGATGATAATTTTTCATCAATAAATTTATTTATTTTTAAAAATCATTGATACACACGTCATTGTAATGTATATGTTGTACTTTCAATTCAATAGCCGTATGTAGTGGAGGAAGATAAAGGATCCAAACGGATGATTTGCAAAGGTACACAAATCTATACAAGCACGTATCAAAATGAGCTGATTTTGGGAAACGATTATGTGCGGTACTTTTAAAATACAGTTAAAAAAAATATTATTGATTTTATTATTATTTAAGTAAAAAATAGGTAAAAATTTATCGAAAAAATTATTATTTTTAACGATTTTATTATTGTTAGATATTTTATTAAAAATGTTAAAAAATATTGATGTTTTAGATAAAAATAATAATATTTTAGATAATTTTTATCTATTTTATTATTTAAATAATAATAAAACTGATAACACTTTTTAATTATATATTAATAATATTGCATTATAAAACTTCCTGTTGATTTTGGGGGGACCATATCTATCAAATTCAAGAGAACAAAGTTTTTTATTTATAAAATGGCAAGTTTTCATTTTTAAAAGAACCAATTAAAATAAAAATAGTAATAAAAAAAACAAATACGAAAAGCATAGTGAAAGGGATAGAAAAGGAAAGATTTAATATAATATAACTGAAAATTTAAAAATAAACATTGTTTTAGACTTTTGGTATTACAAGACAAAAAGTACCATCGGTAAATTTGTCAGAATTATAATTGGACACGTGTTTGGTTATGCCTTATGACCCTTATTTTTTCCTGTTTCTTTCCAAATCCAGCATCTAATAATTAAAATAAAAAAATAATCAAAATTAAAAATCTTTATAGTATTTCATTAACTCTTTATTTGGCATTACTAACTAAAATTCAGATCTTCATTTAAGAAAATCAGATGTTGTAGCAGAATGTTTAGGGAATTAAGATTTTTTTTTTGGATAAACTACTTGAGCAGTCATTCAATTATGGGTGAGCTTCTAAATTTAATCATTGATCTATGAATTTTATCAATTAAGTCATTTAATTATTTAAATAATATTATTAAAGTCAACAATCGTTAATAATTAACGAAAATAATTATGTGACAATTAAAGTAAATTTATATAACCATCACATTTTGGTATTCATTGCTTCCAAATTCTATTTGATCATCATCTAACACGAGGAAAAATTGTGCAACTAAAGTTTTAAATAAGGGCATCAAACCCGAGAAGCATGGGAAGAGAATTAAGAGCTCTAACCATTGAGCTAAATCTATCATTTAAATAAATTATTAAATAAGAGATTTTTTTTTCCAATAAGATAGTAATATGTGTTATTATAAAATTAAAACTAATTTGATAATATGTGTAGGTAACGAGGATCGAATGTGTACCTATACAAATTTACTTAACTACCACTTTAATATTATCAAATAGACAAGTGAATAGATTGATATCATTTAAATAATTAAATGACATGATTGATAATATTAATAGTTAATGATCAAATTAGACTTCCCCATAATCAAGTGACAATTCATGTAGTTTACCTTTTTTAATCCTTAAAGAGAAAGCAAAAGAATAGATAAAAGGGGAGATTATGTTTTCGGGATTTGTTTATTTTTCATTTATATTAAATATTATCCGTTTACTTTCCATTTCGTCACAAATTTATTTATTTTGCAGGTGTGTTTTGTCATTTTCATTGGTAAAGTCTCCTCAGCCTCTTTTCTGAAACAGATTTTTATTTTTAATTGAATTTTACATTTACCTGTTTCCGTGTTAGTATTATATAAATACATTATTTCATATGTTATTGATTACTCATCTTCCATCCTTCACCTATTTCTTGCCTCTCTGCAACTCACTTCTTTCTTATTCTTCATTGTAAGAATTTCCCATTTTGTTTTTTTTAAACTTGTTTGTTGCAAATATAAGTTTTTTTTTTTAACTTTTCATTGATCAAAGCTTCCATTTTTAAGTTCTGGGTATAACTGGTTTTCTTGTTAAATTCGTATGGGACTTATCGAATTAGTTAAAACATTTGATTTTTTCTTGATCTCTGGATTGAGATTATCATATCCTTTAGCTCCACTTGTTGTGTCCTATCATGACCCCTTTTTTGGGCTTAGTTTGATGAATCTTGAGCTGTATTATTGAGATTTTCTTACTCTTTAGTCATAGATTCTGTAAACTTTTTGGCATGATCTAAATTTTTGATCAATTTTAACTCAATGCTGTGAGCTGCAAAAGTTGATGCCTTTGTTGCTGCTCTGCTACATTTTTTATAACTATTTTTCGTTTTGTTTTTGACAATAGGGTTGGTCAAATTGTGAAAAGCATGGATGTTTCTGAGGTTAATAATGATAGAGGAGAATTGAGGATTCATGAAAATTTGGATGAACTAAGGACTGAGTTGGCTGATTATATTGCTGAGTTATCAGAGGCAGCCGTGAAGGAGAGAGGCGTTTTTGCTATTGCATTGTCTGGTGGTTCTCTCATTGACTTAATGGGGTATCAATGCATTCATTTTCCATCTTTGTGGTCTTTTTTTTTCACTTGTGATTTTGGTGTTCTTCCTTTAATGTTGTGTTCTTTTTTTGGGGTAGAAAACTCTGTGAAGCTCCTTATGATAGAACTGTAGACTGGGCTAAATGGTATATATTTTGGGCGGATGAACGTGTTGTAGCAAAAAACCATTCTGATAGCAATTACAAGCTCGCAAAGGATGTCCTTCTTTCAAAGGTTAGCATCTCAATTCGTCCTCTGTTTGATCCCTTTCTTTATCGAGTATGAGTCTAGTCGAGCACTGCTTAGCTCGTGATATACTCGCTCGATAAGCACTCAAATCTTTAGTTGATGCATAAAGTACAGATTAGTTCTTATACTGTTCTTTGATTAGACTGATCCACGCTTTGGATCTTGAAATATTAGCCTTTGCTAGAAGGTCATGTTACTGGTAGTATTAGTTTACATATGATATGCATTCATCTGATTATTCATCGATGGATTCCTTGTTTTCATCGATACCCTTGTTTGCTGTTTGAATTCATTTGATCTGATATTGAATTCGATATGAATGTATTGAGTATTTTTATGTTGTTTTCGATTGATTTAGATGTTTGGTTTCATTCAGCTCAGGTTCTTAATTCAGCAGTGCTTTCCTCAATGGATAGATTGGAATGAAAAATTATGCCTTAATGTATACGTTCTTATGGCATATGCCTTGTATCTGTAGGTGCCGATTGTTCCCAGCCATGTTCATTCTATCAATGATTCAGTTTCGGCAGAGGAAGCTGCCAACGACTACATGTTTGTTATCCGGCAGTTGGTGAAAACACGAATGGTTAGTGTTTCCGACATCAGTGACTGCCCCAAGTTCGACCTTATCCTTCTTGGCATGGGACCCGATGGTCACATTGCCTCGCTATTCCCTAATCATTCGGCACTTGACGAGACCGACGGATGGGTAACTTTCATCATCGATTCTCCTAAACCTCCCCCTGAGAGGATAACATTCACTCTGCCTGTCATCAATTCAGCATCAAATGTGGCAATGGTCGTGACTAGCGAGAGCAAAGCAGAGGCTGTGCATTTGGCAATCGATAATATTGGACACGACCGCCCATTGCTGCCTGCACGGTTAGTCCAACCAACGAAAGGGAAGTTGGTATGGTTTTTGGACAAGCTAGCTGCATCGAAACTGGACGGTCTTCAATTTTCCGAGTAGGGTCATAACCTGTATGTTTGTATGTAGGAGGGTTTCACAACCTGTTGATCGTGATCCTCGATTCGTTCCTGTTTCTTCATCATTTATACTCTGGTTTTTCGTCTTCCCGTTTATATTTGAGGTGGGAAGTTTGGAATCCATTTTGTAAGGAAAGGGAAAAGTAATAAAAGTTGGGGTCTTAATGCAAAAGTTTATTGCTGGTTCAGGTTCAATTCTTCTGACATGGATGATCAAAATGTGTCAATCTCCATTTTTGCATGAATCAAACTTTCATCCATCTGTTGTAAAGAAGGATTATAGATTAGTGGTTACTACAAACATTGTATGATGCATCTTTTGTAAGAGGGCAAATGAAATTTAATACTTTAAATGAAAAATGCACTCTGACCACATTTCTTAGAGATTTCATTCAAGCAAAAGAAGTAGCTTTAAGCTCATGTTGCTGGAGGAAAAGTGGGTATGGGGATGACAACTTCGAGTCAAAATTTGAATCAAATAAACTCTACTTGAGATTAAATTCAACTCGTGTTCTTAACGGGCCCAAATGAGTTATTTGATATCCGACTCGAAAAACTTACGAAAAATTTGAAAAAAAAAATCAAATTTATAATTTTGAAATTTAAATTATTAATAATATTAATGTTTACATTTTTTTAAATAATATAAGATTTTTATGAATTTAAGGTTCTAGTTCAAGTTCGAATTCGAGTTTGAACTAAACTCGAATTCAAGCTTCAATCGAGCTAAGATTGAGAATATTTCGAGTTTAAATTTTTTTAAGCTCGAGTCGAGCTTCAAATTTCAAGTTTAAATTAGAGTCGAACTTAAAAATTTTAAATTTGCAAGCTTTCGAGTCGAGCTTAACTCAACTTTGATTATTTCGAAGTGGGGGTATATGTTCAGTTGAAGATCTTCAGTTACATGTTTGTAGTACAATAAACAGTTCATAACAACATAATTATTGTACTGCTTCTAAAAAAATAGCATAACAGCTTTTCAACTTTATAAGAAAAATCCAGAATTGAGTTGGATGTTTAACAAAAATCCAATCAATTTTGTTCAAAAGATCTAAAGGAATCTCTTTTCCCCTCTGTTATCTTTCTAGGTTGGTAAAGTCTGGTGTTTGCTAGACGTTGAAGGGATTAATACTAAGAAACTTCTGGGATTGGAATACTCTTGCTTTTCATTCATTTCAATATTGGTTTCTAAGTTAACAACATTCAATTAAGAGACCAAATTCAACGAGATGACTTCTAGCAGGGACGGACCTAAAATTTAATGTTAAGAATCGAATTTCTAAAACTTTTGAAGAGGACGAACTTATGAAGTTTCAGATGACCAAAATAGATTATCAATAGAAATTATAAAGAAAATATAAAAAAAAATGTAGACTTATTCACAAATAAGTACCTAAACTATACTTTTTTTTTCATTTAAGTACTTGTATTTTTTTTTATCAAAATAAATACCTAAAATTATCCTTTTGGTCAAAATAGGTGCCTAAAGTATTTAACGTCAAAATGGGTACCTAAACTATTCACACTTTTTCATCTAAGTTTTAAAAAAGTTGACATGTGACATTAATTAAAGAATACTTTACACACTTAGATGAAAAATTGAATATTTTAGGTACCTATTTTGACCAAAAATAGACCAAAATGGTTTAGGTACTTAAATAAAAAAAATATGATATACTTTAGGCATTTATTTGTTATATAAGCCAAAAATATATGATAAGTTGAAATTTTGAGGAGGAGGATGAGTAGGATGGGCATGGGTTGAATCAGATTTTAGGGTAATCTGACATAATATGAAAAATATACACCCTTCACTTGAAATCCATCTTAGGTTTAGGATGACTTCACTCGATCTAAACTTGACCCATCTTTTTGAGATAATACTTGAACCTGATCATACCCAAAACAAATAAATGTATAAAAATATTAGTTTTATTTGATAAAAATAAAGATATAATTGAAAAATATAATATAGAGATATTATTACAATTATTCATAACACATATAAGATAAAATTACACTTTTTCGGATCAAATCTAGTATTTTTATCCTAAATTCGAACAAAACCCGAATATATTTCTAAAAATATCTGATCTAATTTGACCCGAACTTAAATTTTTTTAGAAATATGATAAAATCGAATTAGATAGAATTGAAATTCGTCGGATTTAAATTCTAGACACATTTCTCAGAATGATTGACTCAATCGCTTTTTTTGGGTCCATTCCTAGTTTATGGGATCGAAGTTTTTGTATGCAATTCCAAGCAAGAAAAAAAAATACATAAACACTAACCAGAGAAGCGTTAATCAAATAAGAGATCAAATTCAATCAAGGGGACTAACTATGACCCTGGCTAGCTTCCTTAGTACTATTTGCAGAACAAACCTGCGCCATCAGACGGATACTTCAAATAGAAACCATAGATGGGCATATGAGTGTAGAAACGGTTTTCAGAAAAGAAAGGGAGGTTTCGTTTCGAATAATTTTTTTGCCGGTTAATAATAAAACGTGATTTGAGGAGTCGTCACTAATCTTTAATCAGAGTAAGATTAGACACCCAAAAACGTATTTGTTATTTTAATAAAAATATTAATTTTAATTAAAATAAAAAATTTACTGTCTGTATTACCAAAAAATTTGAGTTTGGGAGTTAGTTACGCCTGAAGAAGGATTGGCACCCCACAACACCCTAAATCGGCACCTAGTCGATTAATTAGTTATATTTACAATGAAATTTACTGATTCAAGTTTGATTTAATTTAAGATCTCATATAAATAATATTCTTCGAATTTTAGGACGAAACAAAATAATATTTAATTATTTCATATTAAGAAGAATCAACATCTCATGCCTTAAAGCAATCAATTCTGTTCCAATCGAAATAAATGAATATTACAATTACATCCTAAAGTTCATTATTAATTCCAAATTTAAATTCAGAAATAACAATAAGATAAAGAAAATTAAAATTAAGATTTTCTTTTTAAAACACATTCTTTGAATTTTAAGAGGGAAAACAATAATATTTAATTATTTTCAATCGAGAAGAAATGACCTCTCATGCCTCTGAGAAATCATTTATTACTCCAATTGAAATATAAAAATATTACTATTTCATCCTAAAATTCATTGTTAATTCGAATGCATGAATGATGATAAAAATAAAAATTAATTTAATATGAATTATCAATCCCTTATTTCGTGTTCACCATGGGTGTCCCAAAATACTTGTGGGGAGAGGGATGTCCTCACTGCTTGCTACCTGATAAATCGTCTACCATCAAAGGTATTAAATTTTCAAACACATCTACATACACTTCAAAAGGCCTTTCCCTTATTTCGTGTTCCAGCCTACCAACAAAAATATTCTGTTGCAAAACATTTGTCCACAATCAACAACCTAATCAATCCAAACTTGATCCTCGAGCCAACACATGTGTCTTCGTTGGCTATTCCCCCACACAAAAGGGCTATAAGTGTTACTCACCAACCTTGCACCGAATTTTTGTCTCTCGGGATGTCACCTTTTTTTTTAGAATGAACCATACTTTGCAGCATCTCATCTTCAGGGCGAGACTCTCAATGAAGATGAGACCCTTAATATCATTCTCATTATACCTCTACTATTACAAACAAACCTAACAACCCAACAACTATTGTAATTCTAGATTTAAGGATTGTTTCTCCTGTGCAGCAGCAAAAAATTAGCAGAATCAATCACACCACCAAAGAACAACAACAACAAGATCCAGGAAGGCAACAAGAACATGCTCCAGAACTTCGGGTATACTCTCGATAACTTCATCCTCCTGAAACTGAAACAATAGTGCCAATTTCATCCCCAACCGAGGATTGTTCTAAAATAGAAGTCTCACCTCCATCACCATTTATATATCTTCCAATTGTTGTTCGAAAGGGAAAAATGAGCTGCACTCAACACCTTATTTCTTGGTTTGTGTCATATGGAAACTTATCTAAGTCTTATAAAGCCTTTGATTCTAATGTTGACACTGTAGAAGTTTCAAAAAACATAAGGCTCGGCTTGTGGCTAAGGGCTTTACTCAAACCTATGACTTTGACTACGACGAGACGTTTGCACCAGTTGCCAAGCTAAACACCATTTGATTTATCCTATCCCTTGCTATCAACTTGGATTGGCCCTTGATCCAATTGGACATAAAAATGCTTTCCTCAATGGGGAATTAAATGAGGAAGTGTACATGGACTTCCCACCCGGGTTTGAAGAAAGCAATGACCAAGCGTGTAAGTTAAAGAAGTCCTTATATGGACTAAAGCAATCTCCAAGGTCGTGGTTCAACTGATTTGCCAAAGCTATGACTAGTAGAAGATATATTCAAGGACAGGTTGACTACACCATATTCTACAAACACTCAAAAAGTGGAAAATGTTGTATTTTCATTATCTATGTGGATGATATAATATTAACAGGGGATGATTCAAGCGAAATTAAAAAAGAGTTTTTTTAGTGTTGAATTCGAGCTTAAGGACTTGGGGAATCTTAGATACAATGGAGGTAGCAAGGTCTAAGGCAGGTATTTCCATCTCCCAAAGAAAGTATGTTCTCGATCTACTTTCAGAAGTTGGTTTGTTGGGCTGTAAACCAGCCGAAACTCCTATGAAATTCAATATAAAATTAGGAACTGATCAATATGGAGAAGATATCGACAGGGGTAGATATCAACGACTAGTCGGGAGACTTATCTACCTATCTCACACTTGTTCAGACATAGCTTTTGGGGGTTGTATTTTATCAGCCAGTTCATGCACCCTCCAAGGGAGAAACATCTAGAAGTTGTGTACAAGATATTAAGGTATCTCAAGGGGACTCTGGGTAAAAGTCTGCACTTCAAGAAAACTGCCAACTGGAGTGTAGAAGTATACACTTATGCAGACTGGGCAAGTGCTATTAACGATAGACGTTCTACAAGTGGTTATTGTAGCTACGTTTGGGCTAATCTCATAACATAGAAAGGTAAAAAACAATTTGTTGTAGCACGCACCAGTGTAGAGGCAGAGTGTCTAGCACGATCCTATGGTATATGCGAAGGAATCTTGATACGACTATTTGGAGAACTAAAAGTGTCCTATACAAGACCTATAAAAATGCATTGTGACAACCAGGCAATTGTCAGCATAAAACATAATCATGTTCACCATGATCGCACCAAACATGAGAAAATTGATAGCGTTGAGTTAATCGATCCGATGAAATAACCAAGAGGGGGTAAATTGGCAAGTAAAATTTTGGTGGAAGCTTTGACAGAAAATTGAAAAGATTTGCACAGCGATTTAGAGTGGTTTGACTTTCTCA